GTGGTAACGGTAGGATGAGGATGAGGAGGAGGAGGAGGAGGAGGAGGAGGAATACGAGGGGCACGGGCCTCCAGACATGGCGGCTTCCAGAAAGGGCCTCGCCTTCGAGGAATGAAGGAGTTGGAATCTCTTCCTCGGCAGAAGGCGGCGGAAGTAAAGCGAGCCGACCTCCGCCGGTGGAGGCTGTCGGAAACAACATATGCGCCGCGAAGAGATGGCAACACTGTTGGGCTCAGGGTTTCCGGAGCCTGCTACGTGCTGGCGTCGTGGAAACTGAGCGACGGGAGGTTTCGGACCATACTAGGTCTCTAGGGGCCCTTGACGGGCCTCGGGGCCGCCAGAACACAATTCGGGATGAAACATCGGCCTGGGGGAAGCGGTCGGGATGTCTGAGGGGACCTTGTCTTGGGAAAATCACGACGTCGCGTGTCGGGGCCCAGGTCTCCCACGATATGATCTCTTCAATCCCGCCGGTTTTTTCCTTTACCTCGCCTCGCCATTACTTTCCTCCTCCGTCTCCTGCTGCTCATGCTCGCCACGCTCTACCCACCGCTGCCCCTCCTCCTTGTCAGCCGTCCTTCCCCTGCAATTACGTCCCTGCTCGCCTCGCTCTCCCCCCTGCTCTCACCCCCTCCTCGTCTTCCCCTCCCCGTCCCTCTCGCCCCTCTCCTCGTCTTCCTCCTCCTCCTCCTCCTCCTCATTCTCCTCCTCCTCCCTCGCACCTCTTCCTCCTTTTTCTCGCCCCTCCTGCTCCCTAGCGTCCTCCGCCACAACATCCTCGTCGTCCTCATCGTCGCCGTCTTCAGGTTCGGCGGCACTAGCCGTAAGGCCTTCGCAAAAAGAAACGAAGAGGCTTTTCTTGCCACGGTAAGCTTCGTCCACGAACAGGTTCTCTGGCACAGATCTGAGCACCGACAACCAAAGCCCATTTCGGAGCCCGAGAAGATACTTCACCTCAGAGGTGAATCACCTCTGCGTCTTGGCTGCAGCACAACTCTCCACGGCGCAGCTTATGGCTCCAATTCTGGAGGGGGCCGGTTCCTGGCTCCTCAAGCGTTGGTTTCCAGGCCTTCGGTTGCTCTGCTTTGATTGCGATGCAATGCGCTGCTACGCGGTGCTAAAAGGGAAGCGATGAAAACGAACGTGATGCTGACCATGGTGACGATCGGAAGGATGATGAGGTGGACAAGAACGATGGTTAAATGCAAAGCAGTCACCGAATCCGGCTGGTTTATGCGTGATATGGACTCTGGGGTCTTGGAAACTCAACGCGTGCGCCCCGCAAGGACTACCCTGACGAAGGCCCGAACCAGATGCAGGCGCGAGCATCGCGAGGCAGGCAGGAGACGGGATGGGGGGCCTGGCAGAAGGATTGGGGCGTGGAGGGGGAGGAAGATGGCACGCGGGGGCAGGGGCGCCGAGCGATGGGGCGCTCGGGGAAGCCTTTCTTTCGGGCGCCCGCAAGAGGCCAGCCCGCCGCCCGCAGAGACGCGGATCGCAGGGGAGTCCTCCCGACGCGCGGTGGTCGCCCCGACGAGATTCCAGCGGCGCGCGCGGGGCGTCCGCGGCACGGGGCCGAAGGCCGGTGGGGCCTTGGGTGGAGCCCCCTGTGGGGCCACGACACGTGGGGGCGGGGGGTGGAAAGGGCGGGGACACGCATGCGAGAAGGGCCGGTGGAGCTCCCCGGTGGGACCACGACGCGTGGGGGGGGGGGGGGGGGAAAGGGCGGGGACACGCATGCGAGAAGGGCCAGTGGGGCCCCAGGTGGAGCTCCTTCTGGGGCCTCGAAGCGCGTCGGGGGTATGCCGACCCCTGGCGGACGATGATGGCAGTAACGGTAAGGGCTGATGATGACGATGACGATTACAAGAGGAGGGCAGGGGCAGGGGTGGGAGGAGGAGCTGTCAGGGCTGTGCTGAAATGGGCGGGACACCGCATGCGAGAAGTGCCGCTGGGGCCTTAGGTGGAGCCCCGTGTGGTGCCACGAAGCGTAGGAGGTGTGCTCCGAACTGTGACCGGGAGGGAACCGACGGCGTACGCAGATGTATCTTACCCTTGCGGACCCCTCGATGCGCTAAGTTCGAACGCGTCCGTCGGACGGCGATGCTGCCCCCTGCGCAAAATCCTGAACCCGCCAGCCAACGCAACTGTCTCAAGCAAAACAGGACTACATGTGAAAGAACGCAAAGCTGTGATTCAGAACCGACCACATAGAATAAACACGACATAAAGATCGCTCATCAAGGAAACACTGACTTCTTATGGAGAGCCAGCAATGAAGAGCCAGCAAGTCTATTGGTAAGGACACGTTTTCCAATACCCCCTACAACGCGCACAAATATTGCAACGATGGTGAGCGCATCATCGCCGCCATGAGCTCGAGTTCCGCCAACAATGTTTGCCCACACATCTCTTTAGATGTAAGATCGCGTGCGCGAGCGATTTGCAATCGGCCATGATTACCGCAGAAGGAAAAGATACGATCTTTCGAACGGCAGTACACAGAACATGTCTCGATGTTTCCCTGGCATGGGAGGGAGGGGCGAAAAGGGATTCATGGGAGGGAATGGAGAGGGGGCGCGAGATTGCACCCTCGACTGAGGGCTGGCCACCGTTCGTCGTCTCTGCGATCGTACCCCAAGCACGCTCGTGAAATACAAGTGGCCTGCCGTGGGCTTCGCGTGGGCCACACGTGGTCCTAACCTGGGCTACTACTTTTGCAGAGGCATAGGAGTCTGCGTATGTGAAGTAATGATTTCCAATCCATTACCACATCTTTGACTTGCAAGGATGTGAGACCCATATGGTGAATGAAAAGCCCACGTGTGGCTCATGTGGGGCCCACGCGGGGAGGATGGGCCGCTGGTATTTTACGGCGTTGGCGTCGCGATGCGCTCCATCGAATCCACGATTTCCCATTCAAAAATATAGGCATATAGCCAGGGAGTGACCGTGGTGTAAGCTATGCAGCTTCCGCCGATTATGTGATTTGAACGAGAGGGAACGACGGCGTACGCAGATTTGTATTTCCATTGGCGGCCTCTCGATGTGTCAACTTCGAGCGCGCCCGCTGGACGGCGATGCTGCCCACGTCCTGAGATTCTGAAGCCACCAGCCAACACTCCCACCTAAAACAAGAAATGTCTGCATGTAACAAAACACAAAAGTCGATGACCAAGCAGAACGACCACGTATTTCGGCAAAGCGGACTTCTCACTGAGAGCTACACTGTTTCTTAGTAAGGGCATCCATCCCCCCACACCATCTGCATGGCACACACATGTTGCAACGATGATGAGTGCATCATCGCCGCCATGAGTTCCACCCGCAGTTATGTTCTTCCGAACCTTTTCTTCGATGTAATATCGCGTGCGCAGGCGATGTAGAATTGGTCAAGCTGGGAAGTGGGCGGGGGACCGAATGCGAGGACGGCCCCTGGGGCCTGAGGTGGAGCTCCCAATGGGCCAATGGGGCCACGAGGTGTGTGAGGGGTGTGCCGACATGATCGGAGAATCGCATGCGAAGATGGCCACTGAGGCCTTAGGTCGAACTCCTTATAGGGTCACGAAGCGTGCGAGGGGTGTGCCGAACCGGGAGCAGAAGTGTATGCGAGGACGACCCCTGGGGCTTCAGGTGGTGCTCCCTGTGAGGTCACAAGCGTGTGAGGGGTGTACCGAAAAGGGCGGGGGTCCGCATGCGAGGACGGCCACTAGGGTCTTAGGTGGAGCTCCCTGTGGGGCCACGGCACGTGCGCGGGGTGTGCCAAATGGGTGGGAACTGCATGCCAAGACGGCCACTGAGGTCTCAGGTGGAGCTCCCTATGGTGTCTCGAAACGTGTGAGCGATGTGCCGAAATGGGCGGGAAACCGCATGTAAGGACGGCCACTGAGGTCCTAGATGGAGCTCCCTGTGGGGCAACAACATGTGTGAGAATTGTGCCGAAATTGACAAGGAACCTCATGCGAGGACGACCGCTGGGGCCTTAGTCGGCACTCCCTGTGGGGCCACGAGGCGTGCGAGCGGTGTGCTGAGAAGGGCGGGAAATTGCACGCGAGAAGGGCCACTGGGGCCTTGGAGCACCCGTATGGTGCCTTGAAGCGTGTGAGGGGTGTGCTGATGTTCAACGTATGAGGATGACGGTAACGACGATGGCTGCTGATAATGACGATGATGGCTGCATGCGGAAGGCAGGGGGGGAAGGGAGGAGCGGATAGAGTAATGATGAAGGACGGGGGTCGAGGAAGAAGTGACGCAGGGCGCTGTCTCTTCAAAACGAGTACCCAACACCACAAGCTGTCTGGAAAGCATGTCCGGGCCTGATACGGCGGCGCACCGAATGGCATGAGCTCGTGTGTGCGACGAGCCCCAGGTGCAAGAAACATGTAACAACATTTCAGGAACTGCCTGGCCCAGATAGGAACATGCCAGGGCCCGATCTGGGGGCGCAGTGGATCCCATTTGACTTCGAGGTAATAACAATTCGCATTAAAAATTTCCGATTGGGGCATAGAGATCAGAGAACGGAGAGTAAAGATCCACGCAGCCGCTAGGCCAGATCTTCTGCGCTGTCGCCTGTGATTACTCATGGCCTCGGCCACACGGGGGCCAGGACGGCAGACAATGGTGATATTAACCAAAAGGGACACACCAGGCAGAGAGCAGGGAATAGGGAGCACGGATGACCACAATTCGTCATACTCTGCCATCGCACACCACCAGCGAGCTAACATTGCAGTTCACACACAATCATATAATATTGGGATGTCTTAGTGTAGTATGTCTTCATGCGCTGTTGTATGATTTGCCACGCCACGGTATGCTATGGTCTGCTGCTAGACCGTTTTACATCACGCTAACATGCATCGGCCTGCATTTACGCTCTCCATGAAGAAAAAGGAAAGCGTGCTCTGCCGTCGAAGCTGGCTGTTGCGGCTGGCGTGTGCGCTTGTGTGCACTCGGCCGAGGACAATATTGACACATCCGGTCTCAAGGTGCACCTTTTCGAGCCTCCCGCCCCGCGCGGTATCGCCCCCCATCTGAGCACATAACTGGTGATGGGCCTGCCGCAAGTTGGCGGCGCGCAGAGGGGGGTAGGGGGAGGGGGGACGGCTTCTTAGAAGGAGGCTGCTTTTCAGAGGGCGCCAGCCTGACATCTACAGATAAGGCCCGCGCCCTCTGAGAAGCAGCATGCTTCTAATGAGCTCCCCCTCCCCCTAACCCCCTTTCTGCGCGTGGCCGAGCCAGCGCCAACCCCCGCGGGCCAGCGCGCTCAGCTGCGTATGCTCCTCGGGGGGCGCGCCCCCCCTTCTCCAACGAGTCTGCCCTGCCGCTCCCCTCCTCTGGCGCCCTGGCGCCACAAGCGCTGGAAGCCAACGGAAAGCACAAGGCCTACGCCGCCATCGAGCAAAAGTCGAGCGCGAGTTTTTGGTTCCAGCTCGTGCGTGGCATCCTCTTCGCCGTTTGTCCACACGTGGGGTCGGAACGTTCAGGGGAAGGGAGGGGAGGGGAAAGGGGTGGGGCGAGGGAAGGAGGGGAGCGCCGCCCCCTCCCCGTCTCCCATTTCGCCCCGTCTGTCCTGCTCCCACTCCCTCCCTTCTCCACCCTTCCACCTCCCTCGCATTTCTCGGCTATCCCCGTTCACCCAACCCTCCCCTCCCCGTCCCTCCCCCTCCTGTTACTAAGGATTACCCCGGAAAAGGGGAGGAAAGACATGAATGAGACAGCAAACGCAAACAACCCGTGTCGGCCACCAGGGTTGCCTACTTGCGCAACGAAGGATCGGCCAAGCGCGCTATGCGCGGCACTGCTAAAATTCTCGCTGACACGCACTGGTCCAAACCGAGATCATCGACGCCCCCTACTCTCCGCACCACTATCTCGCGCACGGGGCCCAATCGTTCAAACGGAATGGTGTCGACTCTCACCGAGCACCGTTGTTTCCGCAATTCTCGAAATCGTCATACTGGCTGGCATATCCCTTCTTCTCACCACTGCGCCTGGCTCTCCACGCTCACCCGCTTGGTACTACCAGCTGTGTGAGACTGACCGCTGCCAACAGCATTGCACCCTCGATGTGCACAGTACGCTATGAAACACACGCACGGTATTAGCTGAAAGGCGCACGTAATGACGAACACGTTTAGCTCGTCGATTCTACTGCTCGCGCAACAATCCCGCACTCCCGCCCACAACATGTCGGCAATACTAATACAGGCCGTGAGTGCAATTATCGATGGGAACTTGCTCGGGTATCTCAGGTGGCACACTGAGACGCCCGCATTAGGCTCATGCAGTTCCATGAGTCGGGCGGGACGTGATGAAGGTGACGACGACATCAGCGACGACGACGGCGATATCGATTACGATTTTGATGTCGGTGGAAGTAGTGATGGCGATGGTGATTGTGGTGATGAGGATGAGGATAAGGATGGATGATGGTGGATGGTGGCGGATGGTGATGCAGGGTAATTAGGGATGAGGTTGATGGTGGTGATGCTGATGCTGCTGATGATGATGGCGATGATGATGGTGATGATAATGGTGTTGGTGATGGTGAATGGTGTGGCTGCTGCTGATGATTATGGTGGTGATAGTGGTGAGTTTGCTGATGACGACGATGATGATGATGTTGATGATGGTGGTGGTGATGCTGATTATGATGGTGCTGCTGATGCGGATGCTGATGCTGCTGATGATGATGAGGAGGGCAACGATCTCGACGATGACACTGCTGATGCTAATGGCGATCATGACGCTGGCGATGATGGTACCGATGATGCTTACGAGGCTGAAGTGGAAGTGCGCGCGCTGAAATTCCGACGGACATACTTCACTGTGCTTGACCATCTCAACTTGTACAATGCGTTGAGGCGATTGTTCAGGCTCCGCACGGTGTTGGCCCCGCCTAATGCGTCAGGGCTGGTGAAGATTGACGGCCCTTCTAACATCTCGCTTGCATTCCTGGCCCACGGCGACGGTGGACAATCGTCACCTTCTGTGTTGGGCAAGGGCCAACTGAACGATACAAGCTGGCACTGCTTCCTTGGACGAGAGGCGCCTCATGTTCGCTTATACGGTAGTGAGTGCTCGAAACGATGAGTCCTCCCCACTTGCACTCCTTTCTCTAACTTCCCCATCCGCACACCCAGCAACATCCCCCTCCCCTGCTACCCTCTCCCCTTGGCGCCTGCCGCGCTCTTGCGACCGCACCGCCGCGGCGCCCTCTGGGGGGCGCTACGTCAGCGAGTTCTCGTACGGGTCCGACGTGGCCACGAGGTACGGGTCGGTAGTGGCCAGGTGCTCGCCTACGTCCTCCTCCCTCCGACTCCTCGCGGGCCGGGCGGCCCGACGCGGCGCCTTCAGACCGGCCGCCCTCTCCTGCGGCCGCCACTCCCTCGAGCGACTCGCCTCCCGCCGCCTCAGGGCCGCCTCGGGCGCCGGAGGAGGGGGGGGATTCCCACTGCTCCCGCCAGCGGCACGCGGCGCCCTGGAGGCCGGCGCCCTGTCCTGCGGCCGCCGCCCCCTCGAGCGGCTGGCCTCCCGGCGCCCTGGGGCCGCCTCCTGTGGCGCGGGCGCAGGCGGAGGCTTCCTGGGGGGCCAACAAGGCACCGACACCGCTACCCTTAAGTCGGGTGTGACTCCTCCTCCTCCTCCTCCTCCTCCTCCTCCTCCTCTCCTCCTCCTCCTCCTCCTCCTCCTCCTCCTCCTCCTCCTCCTCCTCCTCTCTCCTGCTCCTCTATCCTCCTCCTCTCTCCTGCTCCTCTATCCTTCTCCTCCTCCTCCTCCTCCTCCTCCTCCTCCTCCTGTGTCCGACGGAATTACACATACTCAACAAGTACTCCCAAGTGATCCAAAAATACTCAAAACCATAGTCCCCAGACATTTTTGGTATGTTTTGAACTTTCCTGCTGTAGAGGGACGGCCCCGACTTAACGCTACTCCCCAGACCTCCCTCGAGGCGAATCCAGCCGTGGCGACAAGGACATCCCAGGAGGCCCACCAGGGCGAGCACGAGGGGAGGGCAGAGGTGTGGGCACCTGTTTCCTCCCCTGAGCTCCCACTCCGCTTGCCCGCCAGCCGCGGCGCCTTCACGGCAGTGGCCTCCCGCCGCCTGGGGGCCGCCTCCTGCCGCGCTGGCGCGGGGGGAGGGCTCCCGCTGCTCCTGCCAGCCGGGCGCGGCGCCTCGGAGGCAGCCGCCCTCTGCTGCGGCCGCCGCTCCCTGGAGCGACTGGCCCCCCGCCGCCGGGGCGCCTCCTGCAGCACGGGCGCCGGGGGCGGGGGCGGCCTCCCACCGCTCCTGCCGCCTGCCCGGCGCGGCGCCTTCACAGCAGGCGCCCTCTCCTGCTGCCGCCGCTCCCAGGAGGGGCTGGACTCCAGCCGCCGCGGCGCCGCCGCGGCCTCCTGCCGCCGCTCCCTCGAGCGACTGGCTTCCCGCCGCCGGGGGGCCACCTCCCGTGGCGCGGTCCCCCGGGGGGGGCTCCCTCCGCCCCTGGCTGCCAGGCGCGGCGCCGTCACGGCGGCCATCCTCTCCCTCTGCCGCCTCTCCCACGAGGACGAGGAGCTGGACTCCCGCCGCCGGGGCGCCTCCTCCTGCAGCGCGCGGTTGCACGGGGGAGGTCCCCCGCTGCCCCTCGGTCCGTCCTCCGCCTCCCTCGCCCCTCCTGCAGGGCGTCACGTCTCGGCTCGAATCGCTCGCTGACCCCCGAGCGGGCAGCACAAGCAATCCACTCAGGCGACTGTGCGACTGTGGGGCGGCGGGCAGAAAGGCGGCTGCAGGGAATGGGGCGGAGCGAGGGGACGGAGTGGGGAGTGGCTCACGCCCGTCCCTGGCTGCTCTTGCAGCCCTAATCCAACTCCTCGCGATCGCCGTCCTCGTCCAGCTCTTCCACCTTCTGCTCCTCCTCGTCCACCTCCTCAACATGTCGTGCCAACGCGCGTTTCGGCATCATCTTCCCGTGAGTGTATACGCGCGCGCCCTGAGGTAAGGCACGCGCATGTCCCCCTCCCCACGGATTATGTGCAACGACCCGACATCTACGAGTTTCGAGCTCACATCTACATGGGCGCGAAAAAACTGTTTCGACTGAGGGGAAGGGTGGATCGCACTTTAGGTGTAGTTTGGGAGTGCAGGTCGCATACGGCCCCTCAGCCAAGATGGGAACGACGAGGACGACAAGAACGGAGGGGGCTGGGAACAGCGACGGGCATGGGCGGGGGCAGGAGCAGGAGGAAGCGAGCGCAAGGGGCTGGCTGAGAGCAGGTGTCTCACAGGGGGCTCCGCCGCGAGCTGTCCCCGCACGGGCCACGTTGGGCCCCTCGTGACGGTGCAGCGTCCTGCCCCTTCGTCGGGAGACGGCAGGGAGCCCCCAGACATGCGATGCCTGGATTTTTCAGCGCGGGGACCCCCAAACATCCTGGCCCCTGGTTTGCCCTCCCGGGCCATCTGTGTTTCCGGTCTTGGAGCTTCGCAGGGGATCCCCGCAGGCCGAAAACGGCCAAAAACCGTCCGTCGAACATTTTTTCATGACGCGAGCATACGGTCGGTTTCGGAAGCCCTGCGCCCAGAAATGTTGTCATCTCTTTTGGGCGCATCTTTTCCTTCCGCCGCCTTCCGCCGGCCTTCCGCCGGCGGAGGTGGCCTCGTTTTCCTTCCGCGGGCTTCCGCCGAGGAGGAGATGCCAACTCCAACGATCCTCGAAAGCGAGGCCCTTCCTGGAACGCCTTATCTGTCTGGGGCGGCGGCGGCGGAGGCGGGGCAGGAGCCCAGAGCAGCCGTGAGGGGCAACGATGTGGGGGGACTGGCATCGGGGGGGGAAACATCGACCTCGAATCGGCGACGCATCCTCGACTGTTCGGCGATGGGCCCCCGAGAGCAAAACCGCCCCTGCCTGGGCGGGTTGGGGCTACGGGGCCCCCTCTCTGCGATCAGTGGGTGATTATGGAGGTCGACGCACCCCCCCCCCCTATGCCCATCACCCCCCTTTCCTTGCCCCCGAAGCCGAGGGCGGCGCCTCTCCCGGCCCCTTCCAGTCGTGCGCGGGCGCCGCCGCCGCCGACCTCGCAGCCGCGGGGGCCTCTTGGGCCCGGCCGCCCGCGGGCGCGGGCCGCCCACGCCGCGGCCGCCTGGAAGAACAGAAAACGTCATGCACGGAGAATCTCGGAGCTCCGCGCGGACTTCTTGGACTGGCGCCGGGTCCCCCCCCATGGCGGCGCCTCCGCGCGCCAGGGGGGGCTCCAGCGCCGATCCAAGAAGCCCGCGCGGACATCCGAGAGATTCGGACTACGGCGGGGGGCATTGGAGAGGAGACCCTCGCACAAGGAACCCAGGGTCAGGAAGCCGGTGGAGCTTCCAGCGTGGATCGGCCAGGGATGTCACCGCCGCCCTCCTCAGTCAAGCAGTCCTCCAGGGTCTGCAGCCTCCTGGGCACGTTCCTCAACGAGCGCCCCCGCCGTATATGCACCGCTTTGCTCTCCGGCGGCCGCGGCGGCGGGGTTGCAGCCGCCGCCGGCCGCGGCGAGGGCGGCGCGGGGCGGGCGGCCGCCGGGCTGCGGCTTGCGGAGGACGAGGAGGAGGAGGGCGCAGGGCTGCTGGGGCGGCCGCCGCATCCGCCGCCCGGCGCCTCGGGCGCCACAGGCGCAGGCCTGTCGAGGCCAGGGCGTGGGCATCGCAGCGACGACGTCGTCGTCCTCCTCCTCCTCCTCCTCCACCTCGTCCTCCTCCTCCTCCTCCTCTTCCTCCTCCTCCTACTTCTCACCTCCTCCTCCTCCTACTTCTCACCTCCTCCTCCTCCTCCTCCTCCTCCTCCTCCTCCTCCTCCTACTTCTCACCTCCTCCTCCTCCTGCTCCTCCTTCTCTTCCCTCTGGTTCGAGGCATGTCCCAAACGGGCGGCGTCATCATGAGGAGCGGGGCTTACAAGATTCAAGAACTCACCTTCGCTCTTCGCGCGTGCATCCTGCACTCGAGAAAACAGCAAGCCCTACCGCTAAGCACGGTCAAAAGAAACGCGCGGTGATCGCCCAAGGACAAAGAGAACGCTGCCGAGGCCAAGATGAGGGGGGAGATGCATTACATGAGGAGCAGCAACACAGGAGGACACAGTGATAGCGACAGTGCCCGCATGGGTATGCACAAGAGAGGGTTACACAGGGTGGGGCGGGGTGGAACACCCCCAAATGAGGGCAATTCTGTAGAGAAGGGAGCGGGGTGTCTGTTAATTCCGCTCTGTACACGGACAGCAATTATCGAACTCATGTCGGCATCCGCGCTGTGCTGGAGGGAGGTAGGAGCAGGAGAAGCAAGCCCCAAATATGAATGGCAGCAAGCTGTCCGCAATCAAGCTGGATCAAAACAGTGCGAGGACCACGCGCAGAAAAACATGACGCATTCCGCTCCAGTTTCATGCAGACCTGGATCCCGCGAGAGTGACCACAGTCTTGGAACAGACGAAGCATTGGGTAGCCGCGCGGCTTCCTTCGAAGCTTCCTTGTTTCAGATCGTCGGCGCCAGAGCCGCGCAGAGGCTTTCCAGCCGGAAACTTGTTACTGCCTCGCAGGGCAGCCGCCCGCTCCTCCTGCTAGCACGGACGCCGCTGGACCCAGCTCTTCGGGGCCTCGTCGGCCTCCGGGAGTGAGGGCACAGCGCCGGCGGGCCCCATTTCGCTGCTACCGCTTGCGCGACGACGCCGCCAGCAAGCGACTGGCCCAGCGGCCCACCCCGCCAGCGGGGTGCCCCGCGCCGCCGCGGCGGTTGACTGCAGCCACCACTTCGCGGTGGGCCCCAGCTGCCACGAGCACGCCCCGCGCTTCCTGCAACAGGTGCTCTGTTCGGGGCGCCACTTCGTCCGCGCGACCGGGGCGCCCCGTCCATCCCTCGGCGTCGTGCCGAACCGTGGCTCCACAATGGCTGGGCGCACGGCCGCCGAAGTCGGCCCGTTCTGCCGCCCGTGCCCCGCCGCGATGGCGCTGGCTGCGCTGCGCCACCGCTGCGCACCCGCTGCGCTGGGAAGCGGTCGCCACGGCAGCCGGGTCGAGGCGCCAGCTGGAACTCAGCCCGCCGTAAACGACCTCCGCGGCCGCCCTGAAATCGCCTCGACGACAAACTGCGTGCCGTGCTGCCGCGCGAAGCCCCCGCAGCTCGCTCTAGCGGGCGCCCTCACATGCTGCACCGAACAAGCTGGCAGCCGCGCCCGCCGCCGCGAAGATCATGCACCGGCGACCGAAACTGACGGGCACGCGAGCGGTGCGGGCAAAGCGAGTCCTCATATCAGCCATCTGGCCCCCCGCCACGGCGCTGCGCCGGGCCACGCCTGCGACGGCGACCACTTCAGTGTAGATCCCAGATGGTGGTGCCGGTCGCCAGCGCCAGAGTCCGTGGCAAGCCAGCATCGCAGCTCGCCTGTGTTGGCGAACTGCTGGCCTCTCCTCCGGTCTAGCTTCCAGGCTATCGTGGTTTCGACGCCCTGGCATGATCGTTCACGTAGATGCGCCAGCGGAGCTTTTCATCCAAGGCCCCAAACAGGCCAGTGCCATGGGAGAGTAAGGACGCAAGAGGGCAGAACTGGGGGACCACGGGATGCCGACTGCGCGTCCGACGCGAATCCGCCAGCGGGCGGTGTAAGCGCTGAGCGCTAGCTTCACGAGCCTGTCTAGCAATCCCGCCCGCCACAGCAGGCCCTGCAGCGACGCTAAGTTCACTTGGTTGTATGCCTCTCGGCTGCACGCCAGAGTGACCCTGGGCAAGAGTAACCTGTAGTGCGCGGCTTTACTGGCAAAACCCGAGCGCGCAAGCCAGCGCTGGGGTGATCCCTGTGGGCCCGGACCAAAGGTCACTCTGGCCAAGGGTCACTCTCACGCCTATCCGAGACATACAGTCGTCGATTGCGGCTCCAACGATGGATTCGGACATCGCCGCCGCCGGTTCCAACTCGAGGGCGCGCTCCCAGGATAGCTCTGCGGCCCTCAGGTGACCATCCGCTGCGGCCCAGCTCAGCCGCCTGCACGCGAAGTCGCGGGCCCGCCCCGCCGCGAGCAGACGATGCAGCATCGGCATCAGCCAAATGGGTCGGCTGTCCAGCGGCCCCGTACCCGCGCCAGGCTCTAGCAGAGGGGGCAAGTCTGGCTCGACCGATTCGCTTGGCCACTCGCAGACAACCTCCACCGCCTCGAGACAATCGGCCACGCGGCCCAACAGAAGGGCAGGATCTTGTCGGTGTGCGCGACAGCCTCGCGCTGGCTCCTCGCTGCCACACATGCCAAATTGTGACGTTGGCTCCTCGGCGAATCGCAACGGAAATGCGATGAACGGAAGCCGCGGCCATCGTCGTAGACCTTGAAAGAGCATGCGGGAACCGCGGCGGAAGCCAATTGATTTTTGTTCCTCGGCAACGAAAGCACAACAACGCGGGGCCTCTTAAACGCGACCCAGGGGCGTAAAGCCCACCAAACACCTGGCCATGGCCGAGCGTCTAACGCACACAATGGTGCCAATCATCAAATCAAAAGTTCCGCTGGAGTGCGCTGCCTGCTAAAGTTGCTCAAGCTTCTTTGTAAGGAGGGAGGCGATGAGGAGAGGATATGGGCACGCAGTACAATCGCCCTCCTTCGAGCCTGCCTGCTGGACACAAGCGCCGTCCAACAACAAAGCGCCGAGGGGCTCTTCATCGAGACCAAATCGAGGCCAGCAATGGAACCAGTTTGGGCGGA